CAACTAAAAATCGCAATTAGCTATTCTATTCTATATCCAAAATTTTTAAGCAATACTAATCAATTCTCTCAATTAGTTCTGTCAATATTCGGTAACGCAAAGATAACTTTCACTTAAGAGGCACTAACCGAAATGTTAAGTTTAACTACAAAAAGAAACGGTCAAAATTTTTCCCAGAGTAGAGTGTTACGAACAATCCAAATCGACTACTAATTGTGGGCCCCAAATTGGGTTGCTAACTGTCTTTTTTTCCCCCGGAGCTTGTAAATAATATGAGAAATGACCGGAGAAACTAACTGCGGTTCGATCTAACCGTATCCATCGGCCCATCGTGATTGGCGAGAATACGCGTTTACGGCGCGGCAGGAAATACAAAATACCAGCGCCGTATCGGCGCAGCACACGGCCGCGTATTTAACGCTCTAAATTGGGAGCCTTTCTCAGGTTCGAGCACACGGCACGATAGAAGAACGCATCGGGGAACGCCGAAAGGGAAACGCGGAACGGGAGCCTGGCGCCATTGCGATACAATACGGGGCCCCGATGACTTGCATTTGTATCTCGCCATCAAGAGGCCCCGTGATTATAGCCATGGGCCCGCTCGCATCCTGCTCTCTCCCGGCTCTCCTCTCCTTTCTGGACGTATCGCGTACACGGGTTCCCATCGTCTTCGAGAAACGATCTCATCTTACCGCGTGCAGACGGCCGGCAGACGATGCGGAGAGATCGCGATAATAATATTGTGACTTTATCGTTGCACGCGCAGCCAACACACACTCTCCTCTCCCTGTCGGGATGCAAATTAACGCTCTCCTTAATTGCTTTCGAACTCGCGCAATTAGAATACGCAGCGTTCCGATTACTCGGACGCCTCGCGAGCCATTCAATACCGACGACTTAACGTCTCGCATTGAGCTTGGAGAAGACGGAGGGGACAATAATCGCCTGTATTCCAAACTTTATAAATTTTCCGAGGAGTCGGGGGAATAAAAGATGCGGATATTCTCGTGTCGGCTGCATCGGCCATCTTTGGAAGCGTTGTAAGGGCGAGCGGCAGCGTTAAAAAGGGGGAAAAGTACGGAGAAACAACGAGAGAAAGAGCGCGATAAGGTGGGTTGGGTGGGTAGCACGGTTTTAATCCTTCTTGTTTGTCTTTGCATTAATTATCCAGAATTAAGAACGCTGCCCGGCCGCGGCGCCGCGCGCAGCCGGATTACTGGCTTTATTATTACTTGTTGCAGATTATTAATTACCGAGAATTACGAGCGAAGCGCGGGAGTAGGCTGGGTGGTGATGGCGGACGGTGCCGTGGATGGGGGACGACGGGCGCGGATGCTGGGAAGAAAGGCACCCCTCTCAGATTTGTGTTTTCAATTAATTTCCGTAAATTAAGAACGATTGTAAGAAGAGATTAGTGACCGCTGGCCGTGCTTCGAGGACTATGAGAATTCCATAAACGGAGGAGACCGCCCCGCGCTCCGGTTTCTCGCGGAGCGACGTCGCGTAATTAAACAACTCGATAAACTAACGTGTCCCAAAGCTGTTAAATCGACAAATAAACCAGCGATACCGACGCCGTGGCGCATCGTATCATTAAACAGCTTCGGCTACGAGCTCCGAAATAGCCAATAACGACCAGCATCCGGATACGTTACGACGCGATCGGGTTTTCCAATCGAGGCGAAACAGTTCCCGCTTTTTATCAATAAAAAGCCCGAGCGCGGCCGTGTTTCGTTACTGTGTATATTATAAAGTTCAAGGCTTATCCGCCTCGCGGTTTTCATCGATTGGAGTTGCCTGAATTATTCTCACGATACTGACGCACAGTAGCGGCGAACGTGCAGACTTCGTTTTCGGTTATGGGATTAATCGACAAGCAGATTTAATGGAGAGACACGCACGCACGCACGCATTCACTCACGCACGGTCGTGGGTGAGCCTACGAGCGCGTGCACATACAGAACGGCGGCAACAACGTGCGCGTATATCTCGATGAAAAGTAATGCTAACAATGGGGTCATGCGAGCCTTTATAATATCACGCTGGCGGCCCAATTCCCTGTGCAGGATACGTAACGGGGAAAAAAGGCCGAGAGGCCTGCCAGCTGCTGTAAACGATACAATTACCAGATAGATACGTGTTCGCATACAGAGAGAAAGAGAGAGAGAGAGAGAGACAGAGAGGAGATGATCACTCTCCACTCGGCGTCGCTGCAGCAAAAGAACCGAGCGATCCCTTTTCGAGACGTCCGTCCGTCAAATAATATCGCGACGCTTCCCGAGAGCGCATAGCCGCGGAGAAAGCACAATCGCGTTCATACGAGGACTTTACCGAGCCCTATTTGTGTATTCGTGCAGTTAACACGAGCGCATAGATATTAAAAGCTTACGTAGCCTATAACCACGCATCGGCGCACGGCAACAACCAGGAGCTGGGAGGAGCGAGCAGAGGAAATAAATATTAATAACGGCTTTCTGCTGCCATCTCTTTCTCTCTCGCCCTCCCCCCCCTCTCTCTCTCTCTCTCTCTCTCTGTCAAGCTCTTGCTCTCCTTCTCCTCAACCCTCTCTTCATTGGTTCTATTCTCTGTATACCCCTCCTTTCTCTCTCCCCCTTGCCGTCTCTCACCCCCCATGTCTCTCGCTCTCTCACAATATGTCTGTGCATTGTTAGGGCCATTACGGGAGCCAATTAATCTATGCACAATTTTATAATTAAACGGCTAATAGCGCATAGAATTATAGTCCAGGGCCGCGCGCACTCCCACGTACTTCCAACTGGCTGTTGTTATACCAGGTATACCGAGCGTCGCGCGCTCCATAGGAAGACGGAAGAATGAAGAAAAATCGCGCGTTGGCTCCCTTCCTCTCCGTATGTTCTCCTCCGCGTTTTTCTCTTTCTTTTTTCTGGTCTTCTTTTCTCTTTGTCTCCTCGACGCGACCTCTTTTCGCGAATTTTCCCAATTAGAGGCGCAATTCTGAAAAGCCAGTTTGCGAGGCGAGGCGATCGTCTCGTTCGTCCGACCGAGTTAGGCAAATTAATTAATATAATTGACTCGTCTCGTTAGCCGCGCGCAACGCGGCCGCGTTTATTATTTCCTCGCCGATTATCGTAGGGCTCGCATCGACTTATATGCATGATATACGACGCGCGCAATTATTGCAGTCGATTACTTTTCAAGTCTGTAACAAGAATATCTGTCGGCGTTCTCGATCAAGATAGCGACCACCCCGTCTCGGATTCGCATCTTAAGGACGTGCTCAAACGACTGGCGTCTACGGAGAGAGGAAGTCCCGCGATAAGAAATAAACGCGGCATTTAAAAATACACCGTGCGCCGCGCACGTAACGATTCACGCATTGTGCGTTCGTTACACGGGACGTTCCCGACCACGCGCGGTGTCCCCCGCGACTGGTTCTCTCGCGGAACGCGCGCTCGCTCCTCTCTCTCGCTTTCCTTCGCGGCGTTATAATTTCGCGCTCGTCCTTGTCGCCGGCGAACCTCGCTTTTTAAACACTATTACTGCCCGTGAGCACGAAATACGGCGCGTCCGGCGCAATCGGTTCTGTATCTACGGGCCGCCCGGACGGAACAACGCACCCGGCGCCGCGCTGTAAACCGCAAGAAAAATCCCCCTGAATTATTGGTGCGGTTCTGGGCGCATGCTGTTGCATCGGTCCGATAGGAGCGTAGAGCGGCGCGGGGTCGACGTGCAGCCGCCTCTACGTGGGTGTGCGAGTGCATGCGCGCGCGTATTGCACCGTCCGCGCGCGGGCACGCGCGCGCGCGCGTGTATGTGTGTTTGGCTCGTCGTAGATGTGGCACGGCCGTGTGTATCCGTTTTGCTGCCGCTACCGTTGCCGTGTATTATCAGAATGTAACGACGTCAACGCCGCGCGCGATGGGACCGCACAGAACGGTCGTGTCGCGCGGCCTCTTGATCATCCGGCTTTTCGCAATCGCCACTTGGCGTTTATACGATCCCGTTTCTCCTCGCAATCGGAGTTATCGAACAACCAGTGGAAACAGTACCCGAGAATTTGCGGCACAAACAGAAGAGCCCAAGAGCCACGTTGCTCGCTTCAGCTTGGAGATCGTCGCGACGCAATGGACATAATGAATATCTTTGGACGACCGGTCGTCAATTTTAATAGCCAATCTGTAAACTGTTCTTGATATTAGATGCGTGGATGGTTTAGAGAAAGAACCTGAAAGTCGTCGGATAGAATTGTTCGAAAGACAACGGCGACTCTTCGTTTTCTCACATCGTAATGTTGAACATAAGACAGATGTAAGATTAACGAACTAACGAACAGAGACAATGGCTCGAGGGAACTGGCGACTTTGCAATCGAGCTCAACTCGAACTTGATATCGCGAGGAAGAGCAATCTAACGAGACGGCGAAACGTGCTCGGGAAAGGGGAGACCCGCACGAGCCGACGGCTCGCGGAACTCTGTTCTGTGACTGCGACTCCGGATTATTTGGATCCCTGCGATCCCTACGAGCTTCCTCCTTCTACCTCTCGCGCTCGCTCTCTCCTTCTAACTATCTCTCCGGCTCTTTCACTCCGTCCCTCGGGATATCCCTCGGTTCCCTCTCGCTCGGTCCCTCTCTCCGTGTCGCGTTGAATCCGTTTCCGTTGTGACTGCCGCTGCGCATCGCACGCTGAACAAGTATTGCCCATTTGCCGCGCGACCCGCGGCCCGCCGCCGCCGCCGAAAGAGATCTCGGCGCGTGTCGCGACAATTAAGCATATCGAACGATTAATTTGTCGGGGGTGTACCGAGCGAGATTGTCGAGCCCATCGACTGGAACGCAACGCTGTTCGATGGAATGAGCCGATTGACGGACGACGTCGAGAGGACAACACTTTCCCTGACGACCTTAAATCCCCTCGTTCCGTTTACCATTCCGTTTCGTCTGTCGTCTACCTCGTGGGTGGGGTGCAAGAGAGAGAGAGAGAGAGAGCTTGTACAACCAAACTCTCTTCCTCTCGCCCGGCATCCTCTCTTTCTCTCCCTATTCGGGGACGATTCATTCAGAGAAACTGCCGTGAAAGGGACACCTGTTGGCGCGGGAACTCGGTGACAATCCTAGAAACGAGGAGCACGTGCCCCGCTGCCACACGACTCGGCTATCTTAATTCTCTATTGTACGGTCCAGCGCGACGACTGTTCTATTTCGTGAATTATTATTTTCGCAACCGGACGCGTATGTGTCTCGCATTTTCGTGCGATCCGCCTTGAATGCAAATAAAGTTATTCCCGAAGTGGCATTCCTTCTAAACCGCAAAATGTAATTTCGCGAGGCAATTTCACGATGCACGGGGATCGCTCCGTGAACTGCCTATACGAAAAGGCCCGAGGGTCACCGGGAGCTGTTTTCGACGATGATCAAGTCTTAAGGAGCGGTAGGTGGTGCACAATTAAAGTACTTTTTGGCGGACTGGTAGCGTGAAAGCCAAGCCAAGGTACGGGGCGAAGATAAAGTGCTGCCCAGCGGCGACACCGTGCGTTATTAATGTATGCGAGGATCGTAGCTTCCGTTCGTAATAACGGCGGTTGAGAAAGCGCGTTGAGGCGCCCGATACGAGAGTGTTATTTCCGGAATCCTGTTCCTTTTCTTTTTATCTCGTTATCTAAACGGACTGGCATTAATTATGGATAATAGTAGACAAACATCTGCTACCCATCGCTATTATACAGGTAGGAATCTTTCTCAAAAACGTTCGAAATATGGCTACGGCACGATCGCCACGAGGCAATATCAAAAAAATTAGTTTCGCCGAAACTACCAAGTCACGGTCTTAAAGGCCCTGCCCTCTCTCTCTCTCTCTCTCTCTTTTCTGCCATGAATACATCAATCGTGTGTTAACGACGGGAACTTGGACGAGCACAAGTTTTTCTCGGTATAGAAACGCTCAGTTTGCGAAACGCAGCGACGAACGAAAAGCGAACGGATAAGAGGAGAATCCTATCGTCGCGAGACCTGACAAGAGTCGTCAACACCTACCTGGCTGTGGTGCAGTCCCTGTAAAGAATGTCGAAGTCCTTGCAGCTGAGCAGCTTGCACCGATTGACGCCGGGCTGAATGGCTCCGAGACCGCGTAGGATCCTCACCTGCTCGACGTTACACACCAACGGCACGATATCCAGTCGCTTGAGCTTCGTGTAGACTGTGTGGAGGCCGCCCACGAGGTGTTTGAGGAACAGCTCGAAGGCCTGCGGCAGACAGAGCATAGTGTCTCCGGCGATGATGAACGCGGCGACCTTCTGACCGCGGTAGTCGACCAGCTTGCACTCGTTGGCAGTAGGATCGCTAGTGCTAATCGGCGGTGGACTGTTGTAGGATCTCGGTGGCAGAACTGCGTGATGGGCTGCCATCAGCTCGAGCGGCGAGCCATGGTGTCCGCTCAGCATACCACCGAGCTGGCCCAGCAGTCCCAGTCCCGGCGGCGGCAGTCCCGGCATACGAGGCACCATACCCGGCGGTGCCCCGGGGCCGCCCCCGGCCGACAACGGCGGCGGACTCAGAGGAAGGCCCTGGGGTGGTGAACCTCTCGTGGGCGATCCCGGTGTCGGCACACCGCGATGCTGTTGCTGGTGGTCGCGGATCTGATCGCGCCCGTGCGATTGCTGATGAGACGGCGGCGGTTGATGCTGACTGCCGTGGAGCTGTTGCTGCTGTTGCTGGCTCTGCTGCGTCGACGGGCTGTGAGGATGTTTCGGACTGCCAGTTATGGGACTGGCACGACTGCTGTGGTCGGAAGAGCTGTCCATCGCTCCGTGGTCCATGGAAGGTTGCAAACGCGCGTGCCTGCTCTTCCTACAACTCGTAGAGACGACGAGACACTCCGGCACGTTCCTGACCAGCCAGCGATACACGCTTCGTGCCCCGGACGTTCACGTCGCCGTATCACTGTGTTCGCCCGCTGGCGAAGATCGGTACGAGACTCCAACGATCGAGCGTCCAACGTTTCAATGCATGTTAAAGCCGTTTCTCCCGCGCTCCTCCTTGCGAACTCACGTAGATAAGTAAACGCGTACCTTCAAGCGTTTTTAACCTTTCCAACTAACGTCCCGCGAATGTGCCGTTTGTCACTACAAACGAGGATGCGTCTCGGCACAAGTCAGACCGCACGCATTTCTTCAGTCTTCACACGCACGTCAACTTCTGTGTCCATAACAAACATTCAGTCCACTTTCAGTCCACTTGTAGTTCACTTTCAGGGCGTACTTAATTTTCACCGATCCATCGCGAAGACGTTTAACTTGACCGACCACACATCGACAACGAGGCTGACAACACGAGGTGACAAAAGTCGTCGCGCCGAGCTGGTCAGCGAGACGTCAACGACTTGTTCACTGACTCACGACGACGGTACCTCCATATCACAAAACAAAAAAAAACGCAAAGCGAGTCGCGACAACTACACCGGGGCTCTGGACGAAACGCGTGAGCACGAGGGAACCGTAACGTGTACACGACTGTGACAGTGTCAATGACGAGATGACAGCGAAGAAGACGGCGGCGGTGGCGGCGGCGGCGGCGGCAACGACGGCAACGACGGCGACGACGGCGACGGCGACGACGACGACAACGGTGGCGGCGGCGACGGCGACGATGACAACGGAGGCGGCTGCCGCGGTAACTCGCAGGGACGCGCGTCGCTCGTTCTCAAAGTAGCAAACGCTCTCTCGGTCGAGTCGGGAGTATTTCCCTACCCAGTCACAGATGTAATAAATAAAAACATCAGTGGGAGCCCGACAAACGGGGAGGATGGGCGTTCTGTGCGCGCAACCGACTATCCGGTTGGCGGAGCCACCAGGGCGGCTGTTCTCGCTATTGGACGGCAGGCTCGCACTGTCTACGCCTTTCGAACCTTCCCCCAAGTGGCGGCGGCTCGGCCACCCGCCCCGCGCGTCCCCCACTATTTGCCAACCTCTGCCACCGACGTGGTAGACGACGACGACTACGCCGGTGAGGACGGTTCCGGGGGCTACCAACACAGAGGGACAACCAGACGCAGACGCGCAGAGAGCCTGAGGACAGTACGACTGGAACGTACCGGCGACGCGAGCGGCGCGCGAGTGGGGGATTTCTTCTTTTACCTCACTGGGTTTGTCTTCTTTCGTTGCAGGTCTTACGTTCTCTTTCCTGCCTCGGCTCGCTCGCGCGCGCACGTACCTCCTCGTCCCACCGTCCACTTTTATATCTTTCGCTCTTGTCTCTTATTTCGCGTGCTATTCCTCTCTCGGGCGTCTTGATTGTTGCCCGGTCTCTCGAGTCTCGGCTCGCTCCTTGCTTCTTTCTTCGGTCGTTTACACCATTTCCATCGTCGCGTTTCGATCGCGGATCCTCCCACTTGGTTCTTGCTTCTTTAATAATTCTTCGTTTTTTACCTTCGATTCATTCCGTATCGCCGTTCTCTCGTTTTTCGCACTCTCGATTCCTCGTATATGCCATTCTCACCTTTTTTTTCCCCTCTCGTTCTTTTCCTATCTTTCTGATGCTATTCTCGTCTTCCGCCTCTCCTCGCTTCCCACCCTTCACGTACTACGAGTTGGCGCTCTCTCGCGCGACCAGCCCTCTCCGCCTGCGTTGTCGCTTTATCTCCTTCTTTCGTCATCCCCCTCTGCGTCACGTGCGCACACACGTACTGCCCGTGTCTCTATCTCTCTTTCTCTTTCTCCCACTGTTCCCTGTCCCTACGACGAAGAATGTCGCCAACGTTCGAATCGATCGCTCGCTTTCGCGCGCGCTACCTCCCTTCTTTACCCTTCTGCCGTCCGCGAGCCCACTCCTCTATCTGCCCCTGCTCCTCTCCCTTCTCTGCCTCCTCCTTTACCTCCTCCTCCTCCTCCTCCTCCTCCTCAACCTTCTCCGCCACCCTCTCTACTCTTCCCTCAGATCTCCTCTACCATATTCGCCATCAGCATTACACGCGCGCACTTATTTCTTCTGTAGGTAACTCCGCTTTCCTTGCGATCTCTCTCCTGCTCTGCCACCCCCTTGCGCCTTCGCACACCCTTAGTCCACCTGCCCCCTCCCTGCCGCGCGCGCCTCCGCGTTTCCTCCGCCTCTCCATCCCCACCAGTCCAGCACGTAGGATAGTCTACGCTCTCCGTAGCTCGACACGGTTAGGGTATGGGTGCTTAATATCTTTGTGCCATACCCAAGGCGCCCGTATCCGCCGACAGTTCCTGGAGGTGAACTTTGCCGCGATCGAGTGCCTCGATTCGCGAGACAGAGATGAAAACCGTAGCCCGTGTACACGGATACGAATAATTACACGAGCGAATGTAACAAACAAGACGCTTAATCTCAAGAGTAGATATACATTCTCGATGAGAGAAGTTTGACGAAAAGGGGAGTCGAGTATTCGTACTCACGTGCTAACTAACACAATATTAGATAGATTAGAGAAACGCGACGTTTCTCATCTTGAATGAGAAACGGAAGGACCGACTTTTCTTTTTGCTTTAATCCGCGCATTAAATGCGCTCCGATCAAACCAAGTGCGAAAAATATCACGCGGCGAGGAAGATCCGAAGCCAGTCTCCGATTATCTCGTCATAGACGCTTCGTGGCTGGCAGCCCCGACTGGAGGGGAAAAGAGTCTAGCGTTCTCTCCTCTCTTTTGGCCAGTCAACCCCTCATCGGCCCGGTGACCCAGATTCGCTAGGGAGACCCTTCGCGATATCGTGTGTGTGTGTGTGTGTGTGAGAGAGAGAGTGTGTGTACCGACACGTCCGTGCGACTGTACGCACTCGCACACACGGCCGTGCTCACGTACAGACTCCACGGCTCGTGGATACGTTTACTCGAAACAGCTGATCCCGTCACCTTATAGATCCCTAAACGAAGCGAGACCCCCTGGGCCTATCCTTCATTGAGTGCGGGCGCGCAAGCGAAAAGCCCGATCGCTATTCGTACATTCGCAAATCCTACGTGTCGACGTAAACTCGCATTCCCCGACAGCTACATGTCGTGCTAAGTGACAGTTGACATTTACGAGAGTCGTAAACTCATCGCGGTAGAAGTTGGAGCGGAGGCATTTGGTGTCTCGTCAAATTCAGATGTATGCATTACGATCGATTTATTGTAATTGCATCGCTCGCGCACAACGCCGCGTGCAACAATCTAATAACGGTGAAATAGATTCGCCAACCGACTACGCTAATAACCCGACAAAGATTTACGCCGGACGAGTTTGCAAACTGATATTCCTGTTACTTGAAAACCGCCGCGGATATGATAAATTGCGCGCGAGCCCTGGGTCCGTCGAGGGATAAAGCCCAGGCTCGAAGCGACTCGTTCAGAACGGAATAAGATTCGTCCTTTGTCTTTTTGCGGGAGGACGATCGATCATGAGATCGATGTGCGCGGTCCGGACAAGTCGGGGAGGAGGCGATCGGCAGGGGACCGATGTTTGCCGCGACCCAAACCACGTCCAATTAGTGGAATTAATACCGGCTGGGCTTTGGGGGAGCTAATGCCTCTGTGTGTGCATACCTACGGGTATGCGCGCCGATGACTGCACTTTCCTTCGTGCGTAATGAAGGACAATCCCGTCATCGTACCTATACCTCGATGCATTCGCTCGTGGAAGTGCCGATCACCGCCTCCTCTTGTTCTGCGGTTACCGATGAAATTCCGTAAGTCTACAGACTGTGTGCGGCGCGGTGCTCCACTGAATCGTTAAGAAACTTGGCTGGCTAATTTCGCTCGACTACCACCGGAAAGATTCGCGCAGTCGTTGGGGCGCTTTGAGAGAAACGGCCCGGGTATTAAATTTCACAAAGGGCTCGACGCGCACACTCGTATTAATCGCGATTGCGATAATGACGCAGGTATAATGCATTGTTTCGTCATTGCTTCATAGATCTCGAAAAATGTCACCTACGTCGGTAGGCTGATTTAAATAAACGAAAGGTCAAGCTGAAATAATAACGCGCGCGGGAGAGATCTAACTGCGACGAGCTCTCCTAATCTATTCTTTAGAGAGTTCCAGGCTCTCGATTATCGGAAATTTATTTCGGATATTACGCTCGACATCACACGCATACCGCTCCTTCGCGCTCCCCGCCTCGCGCCGTCTCTTTCTCTCTCGCTCTCGCTCTATCTCTCTCTCTCTTCCTCCCTGTCTATTTTTTCGAAAGCACACCGATATCGCGCCTCTTGCTCGCGCGTTTGGCGCGAGGTTTGGCACGACGGGGAACGAGCGCCGGGCATTTTCAGACAGGCCACCGTGTGATACGCATTGTTCGTCCTGGACGTCGCCGCCGTCGCCACCGTAGTCCCTGTTACCGCTCGTTGCCCACCCCGCTACAGATACGCGCTTAGCGCAACACGGTGTGTTTGCATCGTGCATAGCTGTTACGTAACCCTCGTCATTGTTTGCGCATCGTCGTTACACGCCTATATGGAGAAAGGGAGGGCGGAGGGTGGTTTCGCCGCCGTTACGAGGCGAAAGGCGGGTGGAGGGAAAAAAAAGGAGGAGCGCGCGCGGACGGATTTTTGCTCCATCCCGCATAGAGAATACACGAGCGCATCTAGACGCAGTTGAGCAGACTCGCGTCGGGAGGACCGCGTCGAGAACAGGCCCGATTGCTCTTTTCGATGTTCACGCCGTGCGCGTTCACCGTATTTCCTCCCTCTTCCTCTGTCTCTCTCTCTCTCTCTCTCTCCCTCCCTCTTAGCGGTACGCGTTTCATCGTTGGATAACTCCCGCGGCGGATGAATATCGATCGTTACGAAGCTCTCACGCTGGAATATCGTGCGAATGCCAATTCTACCGTTTTAATTTTGCATCGGCATACGGGGCTATTGGAATCACAATCGCAGAATCAATCGGTAGTCGCCGTAGTCAAATTTGTCCGTTCGCCGGGCGAGAACAACAAGCGGGCGATATGCAAACGAGCGAGTGTCGGCGAAGAGAGACAGAAAGCGGGAGACGAAGAGAGAGAGAGGAAGATCGAGCGAGCGAAGCGGAGGGTGGGATGGTTTACATTTTCCAGATTGAAATGTTAACCCAGTAGAAAGGTGGTCGGCGTGCGTGTGCATTACGGCCGATAACCCGATAACGCCGAGCTGCGTCGGTGTATATGCATCACGCCCTTACATCCAGCATCCCCGTTCTAGTCCGCAATGAAGCAATCACCGTCGATAAGCATTGTACAGGTCCAGCACAATGGACAAGACTTTCCAGCCGCCCCTGCCGCCCCCTGCCCTCCTTTATCCGGAGAGCCACCGTATCTCTGCCTCCCTAGCCCTGTGAAATCCCGCCGTAATCTTCTCTGATCGAATAGCCGTCCGAATTAAACAGAAGCGGTCTCATAATTTCTTTTTCATAACCGCCGTCAAAGTCGCTCTCCAATTTCGGTGTATCGAAACGCGGCGCGTTACTCGTAAACGAATCACGCGACCTATCCTCCGCAAAAGCAAACGCGATTTTTTAATCAGCGTAACTTTACGGCGGCTCTGTAAAAAAAAAAGAAAAAAAAACAACAACAAC